CCTAACTTGAGCAAGTTCTGAAACCCTATTCAAAGTGAGTATAATTTTTCTACTTTAGCAGAACCATATAACAATATGCCCATCCTAGTAGGCAGCTGCATATATATTTATTTACCAATAGGAAATCCCAGGGAAAAACTGATAGTGACAAACCAGGATTACATGGAGTATGAGACAAAGTATCATATGAATTCCACATGCCTCTAGCCATTCTAACTAAATTATATCCAGAAATCAAATTCGTACTGGTTTCAATAGGTAAATACCAAAAAGAGATGCTGCCAATGAGGAGAAATCAGAGAATGAGGTGAATGTAAAGATAATTCATTTGCCAGATTTACTAAATAAAACTTCAGGTTAATGACACTTTGAAAATATGCCTATATCCTTCACTATATAAATAACTTCCAGTAAAAAAGACTTTATGAATATCAATAAAAACAGTAGATTAATCCTCTATGTGCATTTTATTTCTTCTACATTTGTTATGATTAATCATGAAGATTTAGAGACTAAAGTTAATTTGTTTTTGTAAGAGGGCAATAAAACTTGCATAAACCCATTATAATGAAAGTATTTAGTGCACATACACGTATTCATGAAAGTATAAAGCTGTGATATATGTCAAAAAAATATATTTTTTATATGTCCTGAGAGTAAGATTCAGCATATTCTTATTATGACAAACACAAAATTCAACCTGGATTGTCTAGGGGCTACAGGGAAGCTGCTCACTGAAATCTGAGAGTACGACAAAACTGTAGGTAAGACAGCATAGCACCAAATGTATGCTGATTCACACAACCAGACCAAACAATTTTAAACAGGTTCCTTTAAGTGAATTATGCTATATCTATTAAAAATATGTTGGAAGGGGGGCGCCTGGATGGCTCAGTTAGTTAAGTGTCCAACTCTTGATTTCAGCTTAGTTCATGATTTCACAGTTCATGAGATCAAGCACTGTGTCAGGCTCTGCACTAAGAGCACAGAGCCTGCTTGGGATTCCCTCTCCCTTGCTCTCTCTGCCCCTACCCTGCTTGCTCACTCTCTCTCAAAATAAATAAATATTTAAAAAAAAAAAAAAAAATATATATATATATATAAATATGTATATTGGGTACTCACCACTCCACTACAAGACTTGGTTTTCAGATCTATTTTGACCATGCCAAATCCTAAACACACACAAAAACACATTAACATATAAAATGTGACCTTCACTACAGTTTTTACAACTAAGAAATTACGAAAATGGTCCTTCCATATGAAAAATACACACTATTCTCATTAGGTAAAAATTCCATTAAAAACTGAATTATAATGAAATGAGTATAATTTTCAAGCCCTCAAAGAACAAAAATTATCAGAAAACATTATGCTTAAAAAAGTATAAACTTAAATAACTATACTAATTAATAAGAAAAATGAAATGTATATAATAAAAATGTTCAATGTAAACATTAAATTAAAAAAAATAAATGTCCATTTGGAATCAAAGAATGTATGTTACTCCAAAGAAGTCAAAAGTTGTGTCTTCACACTCCTGAAAACATTGCCATTATTTGGAGGAGGAAAAATGTACCCCCCACTTTAACTGTCCCCAAGGCTAGCGAGGAGAGACATAAGTATTACAGACTAATGTTATTTCATCTTACAGCTAACATTAAATATGCATATATATGTATGTGTATATGTATATAATTGCTTTTAATTATAAGGGACTCACTCTACCTCTAAAGACTCGTCTAATAACCTATTGATAGTTATCCCCTTAAATCTTGTAAAGCGGATTAATGTTAACTTAACCCTATTTTACCAGCACACTATCTTGCACATAGCAAGCACTCAACACTAACCCTTACCCAAAACTGGAAATTTACAAGAGCATATTTACCATATCCTTTGTTGAAGACATCCTTGGCGGCCTTCCCTAGGTCACAGTAAGTCGGTGTGTTACACATATCTTATAAAGAAAAATGAGGACAAAGGAATAAAAATAACCATTTAGTGTTTATTCACCCACAGTCCTAGTATTTAGCCCTGTGAGAAGAGGTATTCAGTCTTCTCTTCCTTTGCATCATTAAGACTTACACCCTAATGCACGCAAAGTTAGGAGAAGGCATTCTGCTCCTTTACAAAGAACTTTTCAGAACACTGGAGAATAAAAGGGTTTTTTCATGCAATTCACAGAGGTCATCTTTCTGACTGCATTTCAAAGAAAAGAAATTTCTCACAGGCTGAAGGAGATGCTATATTAAATTGAATATATATATAATATATATAATTTATATATAATTAAAACATATATAAAATATATATGCACACATACACACAACATATATATATATTTAAGTATATTTATTTTATATATAAATATACAAAATAAAGCCAAAGAGCTACATAAAGTGACAAGGTAAAAGTGACAAGGTAAAATTGTTTTAAAGAACTGTAAGAACAGATGCATTAAAAATCTTCAAGATGAACATTATCGCCACTCTAAAATTCAGCTCTTAAAATAAGAATTACCGCACTAATTGAAATGTATTTATCTAGAATACGTCCTCTCTCAAAGCTCTTTTAAACTGATAAGAACAGATACTACACTTAATCTTACCTAAAAGGCTGAGACGTGGTCTCTCAAAGCTCTTTTAAAAATAAAATTATATAGGGGTGCCTGGGTGTCTCAGTCAGTTAAGTGTCTGACTTTCGATTTCTGTTCAGGTTATGATTTCTGATTCGTAGAATTGAGCCCCATGTCGGGCTGTGCACTGAGCATGGAGTCAGCTTGGGATTTTCTCTCCCTCTCTCAAAATAAATAAATAAACATTTTTAAAAAAAGATAACAAAATTGTAAAAAAAATATCTATCTATAATCTTAACTAGAAGCAGGAGAATTTCTATCTGCAATAATTCTGCTTACCAAAAACTGGTGTATGCTCTAAAGTTAAAGCTTTCAAAAACCAAAGGTGCCTTCACTTTTCATCTTAGCTGCTTGGTATTCATCAGCTCTTCTACTGCCAATATGGCCCTCAGATTAAAGTTCTCAGAAGCTCTATCTACACTGATAAGCATACCACTCCTCTGCCCTCTTTATATAATGGGAACTCTTTTCCTGCAGCAGCCTCAACAGCCATGTCTAACCACTTGCAGAACCATCTCATCCCAAGCAGTCTCATCAGCCCCATTCATAGGCCAGAAAAATCCAGAGCACCAGCTAGCCCAGTAAGCAACTACTAACTATGCCTGAACTAGCAACGCATTCAAACTAATATTTACTTATACTTATCCTGGCTCTTAATCTGTCCTCCTGCTAAGTGTCTGCCTATACCATATTTAAACCCAATATACACATATGATGCACTTTTTAAGTGAATTCACTTAAAATTTGTTCCTTAACCTAAACCTGTCAAATATGAAAGACATTATATGTTGAGAAGGAAGGGTATAATATAAAATATATATACATATATATAAAGGAAAGAGTACAGTAAAGGGGAAAGAGCCAGTATAAATATACTGACTCATACCATAATAAAATTTTGTTCTAAACCACAGGGTTTCAGAGTCCACTTCCAGGACAATTATTTTTACAACTCAGTTCCTTGTATTTAAAGGATCGATTCTAGACTATTTACATATTGCCAATTACAATTTGATCTTAATGACTATTATTTCAGCTGATGCCGGTATCTGTTCAAATTTTGCCAGAAGTCTAAATTTGGGGAGGTAAGTATAGAAACGCAGACACTATATATTCAAACAGAAATGTTAAGGCAACAGTCTGGATTATCATCTATTGACAAGAGAAAATACACACTTAAATGTTTAGAAACATCCACCTAATTACAGTCTTTTAGAATTTTGCTTTATTTTTCAAAACCACTGCCAGACACTTTGCAAGGAGTGTGGCAGGTTTAGTTTACTAACTGATCTCAGTTCTGCCTAGTTCAAGCTTACTTTTTCAGGCCTATGATTCTGATGGGTAATGCACTGCTGGTATGATCAAGCAAAAATCGAGAAGGCACAGAGACTTCACGATACTCGGGAACAAGGCTATCATCGCAGATTTCTATTAGCTCTACAAAATGCACTTGTTTGTTGGCATGCACAACCTTACGAGTTTGCTTTAGATGCAGGCGGGGTGGGGGGCGTTAATTAGGTAATATTGCTTTACACAATTACTAATTTGACAGTAAAGAGACCCTTTTGTTCCTCGTTTCTTTTTCAGCTGCACGTATGGGATCCTGTCTTTGGCGGTAAGGAGTGTGAGAGCTCCCCAGATACTGGACAATTCCAGAGAGGAAGCTGAGGGCGGGGGCGGGGTGGGGGGCGTGGGGGTGAGTTTGGGGTTCGAGGATCCAACTTCCCTAGAAACCAACCTCCTTTCTGGCCCGACGCCTGGAAATTTTGAAAAGTCCTGTGGGCCCACCAGGAGCGGAGAGGGTCGCGGCTCGGCATGCCGAGCGCCACTCCCCACTCCAGGGCTGCGGCTCCATCACCTGAGGCGGCCCGGGGAGCAAGGTCCCCCTCTGCCCTCCGCGGCCCAATCGGGCCCGCGCCCCGTTACGCTCCTCTCTCCCTTCCGAGCCCTCCGTTAGGCCCGCCTTCCACCGGGTTCCCAGCTCCGTGGCGGGCCACCACCCACCCACGCCCGGCCTAGCTCGGCCCAGCTGCCGGCTGCCGGGCCCACAGCGTCGGCTCTCCTCACCTCCAACCAGAAGGCCTGTCACCGCTCCGCCAGGGCAACGCTGAAGGTCTTCTTCTAACCAACGCCGTCCGCGCCTGCGCGGCCTCACACTCCCCGCGGCGCCTGCGCGCCCCTAGCCGCCCCCACCCGCACGGCGTTTGCGCCGTAGTGTCGCGCCGGGGTCGCGCGCCGAGGGTCTGAATGCGGAGAGGAACAGCGGGGACGAACCCAACTGCCTGGCTCCGTGTGCGCGCGTGCGCGGGAGGACCCGGCGCGCAGGTGGCAGGGGCGGGAGTTGACTTAGGCGAAGAGGCCTTGGGGACCGCACCTTTGTCCACGAAGGGGCTGTCTCGCGAGAACACCGGGAAGTTGCTAGTTACTGTTGCTATGGGAGGGGCCGCGGGAAAGGCGGGCGGAGCTGACCCGGGATGCTGCTGAGGGATGCTGTGGCCTGGCACTTCAGACTTTTCGTTCAGATGACGAACAGATCTGTGTGGGAAGTTTGTCTCCGACTGACTAAAATTCAAGAATATGACCCTTAGGCTATCTCATCTTAAGGATGAGAAAATATGGATTCCACAGGGGTAAGTGACGTAATTTTTTCAAGATCACACAGGTAGCGGTAGATTATAATTCAAAGAGAGAGAGAGGAGGTAGAGGAGAGAAAGCTCTAATTTAGAGAAGAATACCAACTAATAAATGTAAAAGAAATTATAGAAAAAGAAAATCACCACTCTGGAACCACCCAATTTCAGGCAAAAATTATCAATAAATGTTAGATTTGAAGATAGTCACAGTTCCAAAGTGTCAGCCCACAGATTCCTTACTAAAAAGAAAAGGGTACTTTCACATCAAAGAAGTCACCCGCTTTATTAAACTTAACATCACCAGGGATGGTACAGACAGATGCCTGCATGATGCACAGAGGACACTAATATTCTTGCTAATGGTGTGTCTCTATTCATGAGGAAACAATCAGATCCAAATTGAAGGGCATTCTGCAAAACACCACTTGGGTCCCTTCTAAAATGTAAATTTCACGGGCACATGGGTGGCTCAGTCCGTTGAGCCGCCCACTCTTGATTTCCCAGGGTGTTGGATGGAGATTCCAGTCACCCTCTGTCTCTCTCTGTCCCTTCCTCTGCCTCTCTCCCTTGCTCATGCACCCTCGTGCTCTCTCTCTCCAAAGGCGGGGGGGGGGGGGGACTTTTGATGACAAACTGCCCTTTATTTAAAAAAATAAAATAAAATGTAAATTTCATGAAAGATTAAGAAAAAGGCTGGTGAATTGTTCTAGATTAAAGGAGACAAAACAAAGATATGGCACTACAAGCAATGTAATCCTAAATTGGACCCTGCATCAAAACAAAAACAAAAAGCCAAGAAACCATATTGAGAAACATTATTGGCACAATTGAGAAAATTTGACTGTATTATATTAGTATTAGTATTGCAACATTGTATAATTTTCTGATGTTGATAATTGTATCTTGGCTATGCAGAAATGGCTTTGGTTTTAGGGGATACATGGTAAAGTATTTAGGAGTGAAACAGCATGTGTCTTCAACTAACTCTCAAAGGTTAAGGGAAAAAAAAGACAAAAAAGTAAATGTCTAATAGGTTAATAACTGTTGAACCTAGGTGGAAGATATATAGGTGTTCATTGCATTATTCTTAAACTTTCCTGTAACTTTTACACTGTTCAAAATAACAAGTTGGGGAGAAAACACACCCACAAAGTCATCGATGCTCTGTCCACAATACCAATTGCTGCTTAATATCATTATTTACCTGCTAAAGGCATTTCAGGCTAATAAGAGATCAGTAAGATAAATGCTCCCAAAGGACTCATAATGTAGGACTTGGACAAATACCTGCTGAATGAGGCAGAATTGATAAATATCATAAGCAAGCAGTGTATCCTAGTAGGCCAAATAAAATGAGCTTTAGAGCCCAAAGAGGCAGAGTTTGTATCTCAGATCTGCCAACCCTTTTGTCTTAGGCAAGCAAGTTAACCTCTCTATGCCTCAGTTTCTACCTCGGTGAAATACATATAAATAGTATCTACTTCAGAGGATTGAGTGGATAGTAAATAAAATAGTGTATCTAAAGCACCTAACAATCTACCTAGCCTATGGAAAATGTTCATTCGTTAATAACAAATGAAAATGTGCTATAAGAGTCTAAAAGTTATATAGGCAAAGATTATACACATATACACACACACACACACACACATATTTTATACACACACATACACACATTAGAGCCACACTTCAGCCTGTACTTAGGCACAGACCTGGCTTTTGTCAGATATAGCTGGCCGTTAAAGGCTATAAAGAACGCTTGAATGGGAACTTGGCAACATTCCTTCCTCCTGCTTCTGTTCTCCAAAGATCTTTCTTCTAAAAGGACCCGACAACACCAGTCCCAGGTCATGCAGAGAGACTTTGTCTCTCCCAACACCTGATGTGGGAAGGTGTTGAAAGAAAGTGTCAAGGAAAACAGCTGCTTTGCTTCATGTCCCTCTGGCCCTGTCAACGTGGCATCCAGGTTAATGCTCAAGGTCTATATCAAGACCCTGACCTTGACCACTTTGAAACTACAGCCAGTTGTCATTCCCCCACTTGCCCTGGGATCTAAACCCTTAGGACTTTCTGAGCCCAAATCCTAATAGCATGGCAGTCTTCTCCTATAAAATCCCTAGAAACAGAATTTTAGGGCAGGAAGGGATTTGAGACACCTTCATTTGTGCGACATTTGCTGAGTACTTAGGGCGTGCAAGCACCATGCTCAGAACTGATGTATGAAGAAACAGCCCTTTGTATCAGTGCTGTATGGGTCCAGAGGCCCATGTTACCTTGTGAGCAGTTTCCCAGTATCAGTCACCTGCTCTAGTGAAAATAGCCTGCTGAACTGCCTATGTTACCTTTAAAAAAAAAAAAAGTTTACTTATTTTTAGAGGGGGGGAGGGGCAGAGAGAGAATCCCAAGCAGGCTATGTGCTGCCAGCACAGAGTCCGACTCAGGGCTCGATCTCACGAACTGTGAGATCATGACCTGAGCCGAAATCAAGAGTTGGGCGCTTAACTGGCTGAGCCACCCAGGTGCCCCTACATTACCTTTTTAAGAGAAAAATCTCAAAAGTTAGTATAGTTTATCCCTCAGAAATGAAAACACAGCTGAAAAGCCGAGGCCCCACTGTGAAGATTTAGTAGCTCAATTATGCTAAATGCAAAAATAAAAAATAATAATAAGCTTCTAATGTCAGTGGTCTTATTTAATTCCTCTTTCTTTTTAAAGCAAAAGGGCTCACTTGCTTGTTTTCAAGGACTCCAAAATTCTGATGAGGGGTGAGGATCCCCTAGTTACTGAGCATCTTTGAAGAGGAGGAGATGCAAGCCATGTCCGTTGGCCGTCTACGAGGAGGCCGCAGAGCACAGGGGGACCCAGCAGCGAGAGCACCTGAGTGTGCTGGGAAAGAGACTGGGGGCAGCTCCGAGGAGGTGATGTCTCAGAAGGGCTCAGGTGGACAAGAGGGAGGTGGCTTCCAGTGCAGAGGGACAGTGGCCAAAGACTTCAATACACCATACCCTGGAGTTCCATGCCCAAGGGCTCATCTCTAGGAAACCATCAAAGATGTATGCAAAGACTTCTCTTACATAGCTTGAATGATTTATTTTTTTAAAAATATTTTTTATTTTTATTTCAAGGAGAGAGAGAGAGACAGTGTGAGCAGGGGAGGGTCAGAGAGAGAGGGAGATACAGACTCTGAAATAGGCTCCAGGCTCTGAGCTGGCAGTCAGCACAGAGCCCGACGCGGGGCTCGAACCCACAAACTGCGAGATCATGACCTAAGCGAAAGTCGGACGCTTAACCGACTAAGCCACCCAGGCGCCCTATAGCTCGAATGATTTAGAGTGGCAAAAATTTTAAAACACCCTCAATGACCAACATTTAGAAGATTCATTAAATAAAATATAATACACCCATATTCTGGGTGATGGTACAGCCCTGTGTTCTGACAATATCTGATGATCTGAGGAAAGTGTCTAGTGGGGAGAAAAAAGGAGGAAACAAAAGTCAATACAGTGTAATCCCAAGTTGTGTGTGTATGTTGTAATTTTACTTTAAGAAGAAACAAGGGAATGGGAACCCGGAACATCAGTGTTGGGGAGGTAGACAGAGGGACCGGGTACAGGAGGTGCACATGGCAGATGTAGGCATTAGAAATGGCAAGTTCTGGAGTTGGTGATAGATTAATTATATTGTATATTACAAAATAAATGAGGGGGCGCCTGGGTGTCTCAGTTAAGCGTCTGACTTCAGTCCACGTCATGATTTCGTGGCTTGTGGGTTCGAGCCCCATGTCGGGCTCTGTGCTGACAGCTGGGAGCCTGGAGCCTGCTTCAGATTCTGTGTCTCCCTCCCGCTCATGCCCTGTCTCTCTCTCTCTCAAAAATGAATAAACATTTAAAAAATAAAGAAATAAATAAATGCTACATGTATATGTATGTACCTGCATAGGAAAACTTTGGGAGAATTCATCAAAATTTGATAGTGACTATCTCTGCTGGGCCAGAGTACATGCGACTTTTAATTCCTTCTTCACACCTTAATGTATTTTCCAAAACTTCTGAAATTTGGAAACATGTTTTTCTGTAATAATTAGAAAAGTGAAGGTCATTTTCATAATGTGGGGAAGTACCTAGGTTTATGAGAGTGCTGTTCCATGGGGAATTTCCACCAAAAAATTGAGAAATATTCGGAAATGGAGTACCTGGAATTTACGTTGGGCCTTCTGAGCGCTCACTTCACTCGGGACCACAAGAGGGCGCAAGGAATCAAAGTAAATGCAAAGCTACCCGTGCTAGCGGGCGCTGGGCTGGGGTTTGCGTGTCAGGGTGATGAACTCTGTCTTCCTCTTGCTCGCCAGAGCTTCATCCAAATTCTTTGCAAGGTGTGAACACAGTTATGGATCCTATAGGATTGGACGGTGTGTCTGGGGCTTCCCCACCAAAAAACCTATGCTGAATGTCCAAAGGGCACCATCAAATCTTTGCGAGTTGTCTGTATGAGGAAACCAGTGCTGCCAATGTACCGCATGTAGAAGAGGGCACCGCCTGGCTGACACTACCTGCACCTTATTTTATCTTAACCACTGTATCACGTTTCCGAAAAGGGTAATATAGGGAAAAGGTAACCGATTCCTACAGTCGTATGTGATCCAAATACGCAACAGGCCGTGTTCCCTGTGATTTTATTTCGTAGTGAATATACACCTGTGTTTCAAGAAATTTGATACGTTTGGGAGTGGGCTTCACATAATTGGCAAGCTGTGTAGTGTGGTGTAGTGGAAAACATAAACTTTGGAACCAGAAAACTGATGTTCAGAACCCTACATCTGCAACCCACTAGCTGTGTGACCTAGGCAAATTACTTGACCTCCCTGAACCTCGCTGTCTTCAATTTTAAAATGGAAATCCCCCTCACCCCCCCAGAATGAAACTCCTGGTCAAACGGGGCCCAGCCAGAGGGCTCCAGCCGCACAGACAGCTTACTTGGCCCAAAGTTACGAGGCGGCT